TTTATTTATAAGATGTGCCCGTTTGCTCAAAAAAAAAAAAAAAAAATGGAAAACGCAAGGAAACAAGGTTTTTGGTTGTACGACCTGTGAAGTGTCGCACTTTGCGTAGTATTGTGGCTTTCAAACATATCACACATACATAGCTTGAAATTGTCTAAAACTATTTTCTTCTTTATTGTTTCCTATCTTCAATTTTTTCTTGTTTATCTATTTTATTATTATTTTTTTGTTGTTGACAATTTTCAAGCTTTTAGTAAAGAATAACGTATTCAGAAACGAATTGTTAGTTTTTTTGTTTTGACTTTGAATAAAAAATGTAATCCTACCTTTCTCGTTTATCGTCAAATGTAATAATAAATACCATTTGATCTGCATTCGACGTGTATACACGTCAGTTGCTTGTAGGGATCCTATAGGAGGGATGCGCCATTTACATTGCTGGGGGACCGGAACTCGATTTTAACGCGCGAACGATTCAAACATTGAAATAATTCAGAAATAATGAATTGCATCAAATACAGAAACAAAAATGAACTATATATTTAACGATAATAAAAAATTTCTATTAAAATAGAATAGGTTAGACGAAAAAATGATTATAAATTCAAGCGGTCCCACAAAATTTTCAGCCAATGGCACATGAGTTGAATATGAATGGCGCATCCCTCCTACAAGATCCCTAGTTGCTTGTTTTTCATTCCGCACTCTGTCGTGATCTTTTCAAACTAAATTTCACACAGTCAACTGATTTAATCATTTTATTAGACTAAATTCATTTTATCTCAAAACTCATTTACTTGAGATACCTTTGACAAGACTGAAACTAAAAAGTATCTTACATTTTGTATTTTGATAGAATCAATTATTCCCGATAGAAATTTTCTAAATCAATTTAGGTTTCAATATTTTAAACAAATTAGATAAAATGATTATAATGAATGAATCAAATGTCTTGACACTATTTCAACATTTTATATGGTTTTTACGGTTGATTAGACAAATTTCTAAAAATCATTAGAATTAAAAGTATGTTCATGGAACTTTACGAAAAGTCATCCATCCATCCATCCATCTTAACGTTTCAACAGGCGTGAGGAACAATTAAAACCGCCTAATGACTTTCCGATGAAACTTTTGCGAGAATTCAATCGCATTCTAGGGTCGTTCCACTTTCCATCTTTACTTTACTCTCTTCTCTCTCTTTTTTATTTTTTTTTTTTCCTATTTTTTTTTGTCTTTCTTTCTCTACCTCTCTTCGTCTATTTGTCTCTCTCTCTCTTTCTCTAATTCTTCCCTTATTCTTTTACCTTTTTTTTTTTTTCTTCCTTTCTTTCTACTTCTTTATCAAGAGACAACACACACATTATCGTCGAATCGGATAGAAAAATTTCTCATTATTCGAAAAAAAAAAAAAGAAATAGAAAAGAAAGAGGTAGAATTACTAGAGATAATAAAAAAAAAAAAAAATAAAGAAGAGGAAAGAAGAGGAAAGAAAAGAAAAGAAAAGAAAAGATGAGTAAATCATAGAGCTGATTTTCAGATTAATGGAAAGAGTAAAGATTCACCCTTCCATATTCGTTAACCTCCTTTTTATCCAGTCTTCTCTTTTTCGAAAAATACAATGTATATATAGTGAGTATATATATATATATATATCTTTAATTATCTATCTAACTAATATAACAATATAATTAATAATATATAATATAACTAAGTAATATAATATATCACTACTATTAATTGTAGTATTTATAATTTAGTAAAACTACTATAGAATATTACTACCAAAAACACATAGAAACTATAATAATATAATATAATAATAATATAATAACACTAATATAATAAATAATATAACTAAGTAATATAATATGTTACTACTATTAATTGTAGTATTAACTACTATAAAATAAAACTACTATAGAATATTGCTACTAAAAATACATAGAAACTATAATAATATAATATAATATAATATAATAATAATAATATAATAATAATATAATAACACTAATATAATAAATAATATAACTAAGTAATATAATATGTTACTGCTATTAATTGTAGTATTTATACTATAGTAAAACTACTATAAAATATTACTACTAAAAACACATAGAAACTATAATAATATAATATAATATAATAATAATAATATTACTACTATAGTAGTATCTACTACGATAAAATAAAATTACTATAATAAATACTACGATAGTAATTTTATTTTATATTAATAGTAGTATATTATTTCTAAAAACACATAGAAAACAAATCAAATCAAATTGATTAATGAAAAAAAAAGAAAAGAACCATCGGATATTTTATTATAACACCGTAAAAGCTATTTGGATTAAAAACTAATTAGCGAAACCTCGTAGGATGATGTTGGTCCCTCACGTTCAAGGATCCTTCAAGGATATCTACTCATTTTGTGCTTCTGACGGTTTACTCTCTCTCTCTCTCTCTCTCTCTCTCTCTCTCTCTCTCTCTCTCTCTCTCTATCTATCTATCTATCTCTCTCTCTCTCATTTTGCAGTACTTTTGCTCGATATTCAAGCCATACGGGGAAAATCCAAGCCTCTTTCCACGACCTCGTTGAAGCATGCATCGATTACTCACTGAGCTCGTTCAATGAGTACTGCCCTTCTCCCTTACTATCATTCTACCCTTTCCTTCCCTTCCCTATCCCCTTCATTCTCTTTCCACTCCCTTTTTTTCTATCTCTCTCTCTCTCTCTTTCTCTCTTATTTTTTTTTTCTCTTACATCAGTCTCCTTTCGCGCTTAAAGTCGCTAAGCGAAAAATTAGTTCGAATTAGTCGGATTTTCTCGTAGGATATTTTCTCTCTCTCTCTCTCTCTCTCTCTCTTATGTTTTATATTTATATATAATTATATGTAGTGAAGGTGGAAAGAGGGGGGGAAATGTATTCGCACAGTAAGTATGTGAAAAGAGAATTTATATATAATAATAATAATAATAATAATAATAATATAAAATATAGTAATAATATATACATTATATATAGTAATATATATATATTATATTACTTATTAATAATAATAAATTATTATTATATATAGTATTATATATTTAGTATATATATAGTAATATATATTACTATACTATATTATTACTATACTATATATATATATTTATTACTGCTATAAATAAATAATAAAAAAATTAATAATAAAAAATATAGTAGTAATATATATATATGTATTACTATATATTATTAGTAATATATTAGTAATAAATATAATTACTATATATTATATAGTATATAATTATATATTATATATATATATATTTATATATAATTACTATAATGTGTATATATATATATATATATATATATATAAAAGAAAGATGTGTTAGATTTATAAAAATAATAATTGTTTAGAATAGAATATTTACTCTATGCAATTAATGAAATAATAATATTTCTATTTGAAAAGTGTAATGTTACATTTGTGAAAATGTACAAAGAGAGAGAGAGAGATAGAGAATAATTAAATAATATAAACCCATGGGATGCTTTAATGAGAATTATATTAACGAAAATTAATAAACGTTAATTATACTGACAAAATTTGGAAAATCATCGTTCGGACAACCGATTAACATGAAATATTGATTTCGAGAGACAGAGATAGAGAGAGAGATAGAGAGAGAGAGAGAGAGAGAGAGAACAAAATGAAACAGAATCAGAGAATAAGAGAAAATGAGAGAATTAGAGAGAATGAGAGAGAGAGAAGAGAAATCATGTAACTTTGAGTAACAATTAAACGTATGATATGCTAGTTATTAAATTGATTCGACTTTTCGAATTGTTCACAAATCCTCCTTCCTCTCTTCCTCCTCCTCCTCCTCCTCCTCTCTCTCCTCTTCACTTTAATTCCCACTTTTCTCTTTTCTCATTGACGATTACAACAAAACGATATATATATACATATATACATATAAATGAGTATTTTTGCTAATCCGATTATTCATTAAAACTTGCCTAATTGACAGTATTTTACATCCCTTTTATCATATACACATATCTATATATATATANAGACGCGACTTTGAAATTGAAATCGATTGGAAATCATTTTTTAAAAGAATATTATATTATATTCTATCATATACACATATCTATATATATATATATATATATATATATATATCATATACATCATGTATCTGCTTTAATAATCGTATTCAATATTTGTTCTGTTTTTTATTTTATTTTATTTTATGGAACATATTTTTCCATGATATATTTTAACTACGTAATATCATCCCCTGTGTATTTAATAAAAAAAAATAATAAAAATATATATGTATATATAATCATTAAAGTATTATTTAATTAATACATGGAAAAATGTAGGTCATAAAAAAGAAATAATTAAACGTTTATTGGAAGAAACAAAAAAAATATATATATATATATAAAAAGAATTTTATTATAAAATTATAATTAGTAATTTTTTAATGTATATATATATATATAGGTGTATTTGAAAATAATTGATTAAATCGATAACGCTCACGAGGTAGTTCATTTTGTTGTATTCCCTTTTTTTTTATTCTTCTCTATCTCTCTCTCTTTCTCTCTCTTTCTCTCTCTTATTCTCTTGTATCCCCTTCTTGTATATCTCTCTTTCTATTTATTTTTTTTTCTTTTTTTTTCATTCACGTTCGCCGTAATGAAGCGAGCTTTTCTTTCGTGTTCGCAAAGCGGCCTTTACCTAGCTGTTAGACTATCGTTTCACTCGTTGTAGTATTAGTAGTAGTAATAGTAGTAGTCTAGGGGTTAAAAAGAAAAAAAAAAAAAGAAAGAAAAAGGCGTGGAATGAAAAGAACGAAAAAAAAAGAAAAATAAAATAAAAATAAAGAGTAAAAAAAAAACAGCCAGCACAGCAAAAGGAAGAAAATAAGAAAAAGGAAAGCAAAGAAACAAAAAAGGATTTCTCGCTCGTTAACGAAGAAATCTAATTTTGTTTCGTCGAACAAAATGGTGGTGGTTGTTTTACACGTTTTTTTCTTTTTTCTTTTTCTTTTTTTACAACTAACATAAGCCCCACCGTAATTAGTCTCATTGGGCCAACAATATTTTCGTGTATTGTTAATTTGCAAAATGGGCTATTTCAAAAATTAAAAATAAACAGAGAAAATATGGAGGGTAGAGGTAAAGTAGTATCATCTGTGTATATGAAAAGTATACTTTGAAATGCATTCAATTAAGGTGGCGCCACAGTAGCTTCAGGGTACATTTTAAAGGAAGTGCACAAATATTATTAGAGTAGGATTGAGAAATAAACATGGAACACAAATTTCACGAAGACAAATTTTATCCCCATAAGTGTTTTTTCTTATTCACATACTTTTTCATCAAATACTAAATGATAAAAAAAATCAATAAACGTACTATTTTTTACAGTTGACGAAATAAAATCATTCTAGTCTACCACGTTTTCTCATAATAATTCTTTAAGGTTATATTTACTTGACATTATTTTGTACTACGCAAGTAGTTGACATTTTCAATAATTAAACTACATTAGTCGACAATAATATTACATTTTTTTAACTTCGGCATACTTCAATTCGTTTACAATTGCTACATTCATACCATACCTTTAGTCTACACCAGCGCCATTCTGGAAGATTTTTGAACTGTTATTTTATAGCATACAGCTCGACACTTTTTCTAATTTTCTCCCATATGAGATGATACTCCTTACTGCTACTCTCCATAAGAAAAAAGAAAGAAATTTAGGGGTGTTTTATTTTTTTGTTGAGTAACACTTTAATGGCCGCTCACACAACATGTGTGTCATAGCCGGAATAACCTTTATTCGCCATTATTTATTTCTAACTTTATTTATATATATATAAATTATATATTATATTTATTTATAATAATAAAACAAGAAACTCTTAATGAATTCAATTATTTCATTAAAAAAAAAACATTTCTCTAATAATAATAATATTAATAACAAGATTAGTATAAGACTGGGGATGGGGGAGAGGGGAATGGTAATAAGAAACGTTTTAATCGATCATTGTTCTTTCATTGGGAATTCCCATAAGTCTCACATGGGAATACTAATTCGTTGAATTTCCCCAAAATCGCGTTTAGGTGGCACGATTTCCACGCATCTGGGGTTGTTGTTGGTTGGTTACGGTGGTTAATGCGTTTCACAGGGACACCCCCCATGGGACCGGACCGAACCGGACTCGACTGAATTGAACCAAACTAACCGATGTTTGAATTCGTCAAAATCAAAAACAGGAGATCCATTTTGATGCGAACTTTTGCGGTTTAAAAACCTTTATTACCATGTGTGATTTGAGAAATAAATTTTAAATACACGTGTACC